TACTAAGARGAAACAGTGTAATTTAAAAACAAATTAGCGCAGTTGGCTCTCGGGAGATTCAGTTTTCATACCTGTTTCGCGCTCTGTGTGGCTCAGCAATGTAATTATAGTAATTTGTAGTTGAAGTGCGTTGATAATCATTAGTCCATGAGGACTTTGTTTATGCGTTGCATTTTATATTATATATTAGCGTCACATTCTTCATATTTTAGTTTGTAGCAACATTTGAGGGACATAAAGTAGAGTAGAGTAGTGAATTTTCTTGGTGAAATAGTAATGCTAATGGAATATGGAGTAATTAGATACGTAGCATAATTATATTTGTTTATGAAATGCTATTCCACAGAGGTCATAATTACTTTGTATTTTTGGTTTAAGTTGCCACTGCTGACGTAAGTTTAAATACTTATATAAACTTACAATTTTCGTGGTAAAGTAACCGACGAGCTATCTGTAAACATTTTATGTATATATATACATATATATAAGATTCGATAYTCAATTCCAAAATAGAGGCAAGAAAGGAATCATGTCAACTTTGTCCACACCRAAGCAATAATAGCCTTCACAGAAGCATTTATTATAGCTTAAAAGGATATAAGAAATCGTTAGCTTGATTTTGACCGTTCAGTTTGTACAACAGCTATATGCTACAATAGTCCGATCTGAAAATTTTTTTCATAAATTGTGGTGCTTATTTTGACAATAATTCGAGCCAAATTTCGTAAAGATATCTCTTCAAATAAAAAAGTTTTCCTTACAAGCACTTAATTGCGAGCATTCAGTTTGTAAGGCAACTATATCCTATAGTAGTCCGATCTGAACAATTTCTTCGGACATTGCATTATTGTTTTTGGCAAAATTCATTAAGATAAATCGTAAATAAAAACGTTTTCCATGCAGGCACTTGATGCCGATTGTTCAGTTTGTATGACAGCTTTGTGCTATATTCATCTAATATCGGCGRTTCCGACAAATAAGCAGCTTCTTGGTGACAAAAGAACTTGTGCACATTTTCCGATCAATATCTCAAAAACGGATGGATTAGGTGGACTATATGCAGACTGTTGCACGGACATCACCAAATCGGCGCGCTGATCATTAATACATACATATATACTATACTATAGTATATTGTGCAGGGTCTGCGATGTTTTCTTCTAGCTTTAAAAAGTTCGGGGCCAAGTTAATGTACCGTRTTTGGTTTATAAAACCAGAAAATCGAACCGATGACGATCACACTCTTTTTTGTGGACAATTTTCAAACTCTGAGAACATTTCGATGCCAGAAAGTTACTAGTAAAGGTTCATCACCCGTTTTGACTTTCTTTCGTCATCTTACATCTCT